CTCGCTCGGTTCCCAGAATCCTCTTAGGACATCTGGTCTCATTAGAAGATCAAATAGATGCTGCAAGTTCATTACTCATCGACAGCGTGCTGGCGGAGGGCGGGGGTGGGCCCGGGGCCCGGGGGAGAGAAGAATCGCGGGCAGGAAAGAAGCAGCTTCTGGACGCACAGAGACAGCTCCTTCCATGGGGGGGGTGGGGGTGGGAGGTGGCTTGGAGTTCGCTCCTCCTCGCCCCCCCAAACCCGAGGAGGAAGCCAAGAGTGCGGGCTGCCGCCAGGGAGAGCAGGGTTCGAGGTGCGGAGGCGCGTCGGAAGTGAGGTGCTGCACTCAACGAGACCTCGGGGATGTCCCTGACATTCCCACAGCTCGCTGCTCGTCCGTCGCCTGGTCTTGGGCTGGTGGCCTCTTCCTGCCTGGTTTTTCCCCCACAAACACGCGGAGAACCTAGCCCCTGGGCTCCCGGAGCCCACGCCTCCCAGGGAACCAGCGGCCGGGGCGGGCGGGGTGGGGGGGGCGCGGATGCGGGGGCGGCGCGGAGCCGGCGGGGAGCCCCGGTCCCCCACGGCCTGGAGGAACTACTGCAGCTTCTGAGGTGACTCACGCACTCCCCGGGGTCCTCTGGGCTCCGCCGAGACCTGTGTCGCCGACGGCCAGTGATTTAGTCACTGGGGACTTCCGATGACCCGGAGATCCGCCCTGACCCCCTGGGCGAGGCCCGTGTGCTCTCGGTCAAAGGGAATACTGCACGCGTGTGTGCAAGTGTGCGAGCGTGTGCGTGTGTGCTGGGGTGGGGGCGGCCGCGGGGGAGGGCGCTCATCGACGTGCTGCCCCTTTGGACCGGCATCGGCCAGTCCCCGGGCTGCCGCTCGGTGCCGCGCCATGTCGGGCAGGCCGCACGCCCTCCCTGCCTCAGTTTCCTCAAGTATAAAGGAGGCGCTGGGGTCCAGGGCCCCCCCCGGCTCTGAGAACCCTGCTTTCCAGGCCAGGAGGGGGCTGAGCCCCGCGGGCCGTTCCGGCAGCTGCCTGCTGCGAAGCCTCGGTCCCTTGGTGCCCTGGCTGGGGGGGGGGGCCGGCCAGAGCGGCCCGCGCAGGCGCAGAGCGAGGCCGGGTGGCCCCGGGGGCCTCCTTGCCTCTGCCCCGACGGCCCGCAGCTCGGAGATGGCCGTCGGTCCGAGGGTGCCCGGTCCTCGTTTCTGTGCACGCGCCAAACACGCCTCGAGCTGCGAGCTTGGGAGCCATGAAAGCCTCCTCCCCGTTGCGGCATTTTGGACGGAGACCAGGGTATCTTTTCTGCACCCTGTAAACATGTGGAAACACTAAACAACCCCCCGCAGCCGCCCCGCCCCCCAGCCCTCCGTCCCCTTAAATAGCAAACAAATGAACTCTGGATTCTCTCGCGGGCAGGACAGGGAAGGCAGGGTCGGGAGAGGGAGCAAGGGGTCGTTTGCAGAATTGCCTCATTATCCTATTACTCCCCGGGAGCCCATGGGTGACTTTTCATCTTGGGGTGGGTGGCACAGTCATAAGCAATCTGCCCTGTATGTTTGTTTCGTGATGGCTAATTTGCTGTGAAGTTGAAAGAAAAAGACTAATGCTTAAAGGGAAGGATTCATCTTTCTTCCTGACGTTTGGAGGTTGCAACTTTTGCAGGCACATAGGTAGGGTGAGGTCAGGGCCTCAGGCTCGGGGGAGGAACGCTGGGAGGCCACGCCAGGAGGAGGAGGCCTTTTTGGGGGGCAGTCCTCACCCAAGGCAGGTGGGCGAGGTTTCCTGGGCTGCCGGTCATGCCTCATTAGTGCCTCGTCAAATCAGTGTCGTGGGTCGTGGGTCACGACCAGGAATTTTTTAAGAGCGTGAAATAAATAGGTAGGACAGACCAGAAAGGTTCAAAGCACAGATAAGGGGGTGTGCTGTCCCGAGGAACTTTGGTTCAGTGGCGTGTGTGTGTGTGTGCGTGTGTGCGTGCGTGTGCGTGGCGTGCTTGGTTCGCCCAATTCTAGAGCAAAATCTATTTCCTGCTGCGGGTCAGCATTAAACACATTGGAAAGCCACGGCCTCGGAGAAGTCCGTGCCGCGCCGTCCCTCGGTGCCAGCCTCAGACGCCCTGCTCTGCTTTCCGACCTGGTCACCTCACAAACAGAAGGGCAAGGGATTCTTCCCAACGGGAAAGTCAGCTCACAGCTCTGCATTTAACTCTTTCTCGGGTATTCTGAATTCTGCGTTCCCTCCTCTGAAAGACGCTGCAGTGGAATCACTCCTTCCCGTGCAAGCCCAAGGCAGGCGGGGTCCGGTTGGGCTTTCTCTCTGGGGGGCACCTCCCCCCACCCTGCAGGAGCCCCCGAGGTTTGGACCTTCCTTAGCCTTTCAAACCACATGCTCACCGAGCCCTGGTCTGCGCGCCACACAGCTGTGCAAGTGCCTAATGCTGCTGTAGCATGCCCGTTCCCAGGGGTGTTTATATTTTAGCCAAGCAGCAAACCGCGCGCCCTGTTACAGAGCCTCGGAATCTAGCGGTGGCGGAGGAAAAGGGAAGCGTGGAGGGAAAGTGTGTTCTCCTGGCCGCGCCGAAGCCCCAGCTGGGGTCTCTGTGTGTATTTCCTTTCCAACGTTCGCTTTTCACCTAAAAACAATACGCGCGATTTCTTTCCCTGCAGATTTGCGAAATACAACCTCAGGGTCTTCGGAGGTTTTTTTTTTCATACTTATTTACAGAACTGTCTCCGAGAGGCCATCTTCTGCCTCACTCGTCTTTCTTAGACTTCGCCCACTTCAACTTACACCCAGCTCCCTGCCTGGCAGCTGGCGGTGCGCGGTGAGTCATTAATGGCTGTTTATTGCACAATCGCAGCCCTCCAAACAGAGGCGGCAACATTGTTTCTCCGCTGGTGAGCTAGGGAGAGAGGACACGTGCCGTGCAGCCCCGCAGCCCTGCAGAGCTCCCTGCACGCTGGTCCCGGGGCGGCCAGAGCGCCCACTGGCTGAGCCACCTTCTGCGTGCCGGGCCCCCGGGACTGGGCGCTGTGCCCACGGGGCCTCCTCTACCCCTTGCGAAACCTCCCTCCCACCTCCTGCCCCTCAACGCCACACGCACAGTCTGAGGGCTGACAACAACAGCCTGCGGGGCAGACCGACCCCCTGCCCACCCACGGGGGCGGAGGGGCTGGTGGGGAAGTCACTCGCGGCCAGGGCAGCGCCGTGCAAAGTTGTGTTCCTCCGCGCTCCACGCCCCGGCCTCTCGGCTGCCTCTGAAACCATCATTCTCATCCTCGCGTTCAAAGACCTTCCCCATTCTCGTCCAGGCGAAGAAACAGTAAAGGTGAGAACCCCAGGCGGGGTTCGTCAGTGATGGGAGCCTCCGGCCCGGGGGGGCGCTGCTCCCCCGGCTGCCGGCCCCCCTGCCGCCAGGGCGCCCTAACTCCAGCACCTTCAACTCTGCATGAAAGCACCTGGGGCCGAAGAGCTGGGGGCCTCAGCCGTCCCCACGTGGGCCGCCGCGCTCCACCAGCTTATTCGGCCCCATTCCGACAAAACTTTCCCTCTCAGGGGACTGCCGTGGAACGCACAAGATGGCCCCTCGCTCGGGGCTCCCCCAGCCCCCGTCCTTCCGCACGGACAGCATTTAGCAGAAACCCTGCAAAGGCGGCGGAGTCCGCTTCGTCCCGTGCTCTCACAGGTTCAGAGACCGCCCCCCCCCCCAGCTGCCACGGTGCTTGGAGACCTCGGAAAGCAGGCACGCCACCCCACCACCACGGCAGTGGAAGGAGGACGTTGTATTTGTAACGGGCACACTTGGAAAGCGAATCCAGAATTCACTTTAGTTTCCACACCGGGGAGCGAAACGACGGACCGCCGTGTGGGCCTCGGTCGCCACGGCGAGGTTCCCGGCATCTCTGTAACTCTCCCATATTAATTCAGTCTTAAGTTTCAGGAAATAAAATAATTATGTAGTTAAACAGAGGTCCTTACGCAAACAACCCTGTGTTTGCAGTGCACCGACCCATTAGCATCAACGGCGGATGCGGGCTCCACGGGTTCCGAGCCCCAGCCCCAGCCCAGCAGGCCGGCCGCAGCGGGGCCACCCCCTCTGCAGAGCCAGCAAACATCCTCGTGGAATTTGCTCCAAAAACAAAAGCTTCACCAACCAAAAGTCCAGGTAAACAGGCAGTAAATACCGGCTGATGCCGCTTGCCAGTGGCGGTATCTGGGTTCAACCACAGCCCGACGTTGCCACTTTTTTTCTTTCTTTCCAAACGACACCATTACAAGCTAGCTCTCGGCTTGGTCATTTTTTTTTCAAGTTTACTAGGTGCTGTTTCCCATTGACTTAAATTATCCAGCCATAAACCATCTGAGTTAAAGGGAATAAATAAAGACCTTGTACTTTCCAGGAAAAAAAAATAAAGAGCCCGTTTCCCACATATCACCTCACACGTCACCCCTACAAATTAAGAGCTACACAGTAAAGAGCCCGTTTCCCACACATCACCTCACACGTCACCCCTACAAATTAAGAGCTACACAGTAAAGAGCCCGTTTCCCACACATCACCTCACACGTCACCCCTACAAATTAAGAGCTACACAGTAAAGAGCCCGTTTCCCACACATCACCTCACACGTCACCCCTACAAATTAAGAGCTACACAGTAAAGAGCCCGTTTCCCACACATCACCTCACACGTCACCCCTACAAATTAAGAGCTACACAGTAAAGAGCCCGTTTCCCACATATCACCTCACACGTCGCCCCTACAAATTAAGAGCTACACAGTAAAGAGCCCGTTTCCCACACATCACCTCACATGTCGCCCCTACAAATTAAGAGCTACCCCACAAACTCGAGCTGCATGTGCCCCGAGGTCAGAGCTCATCTCTGTAAGTCGCCAAAGGGGGGGGGGCAACAAAGGACGTGGACGCCGGCGCACGCGCAGCCTCGTCTTGTCGGGAAGGGAGCAGGGTCTCACTCGAGCGGGACCCCACGTCACGCGGCGGGCGACCCACCTTGAGCTCCCGGAAGAAGATGCTGCTCCTGGCCCACTCGACGATGGAGAACAGCGTCTGGTCCGCCATCTTGCACATGAGCCCGAAGGTGCTGAGCTTGTCCTGCCTGCCCCGGCCGGCCTGCTCCTGCTGCAGGTAGGCCGCGATCTTGGCCTGCACTTGGGGCTCGTCCGGCTCGCACTTCAGCAGTTCCAGGACCAGGTGCGGGATGCCGGCCGGGGAGCTGCCCTGGTAGCCGTCCACGTACGAGTAGCCCAGGAGCGACTCCGGGGAGCTGGTGTAGGGGTCGGGGTACTCGGACTTGATGGCCCGGCTGGGGAAGTGGCCGTAGGCCTGGTAGCCCTGCAGGCTGCCGTGAGGGGGCATGGCCATGCTGATGGGGGAGGTGACGAAGGGGCTGCGGTCGTAGTCTGTGGGGGGCAGGGCGGCGTGGCTCAGAGGTAGGCCCTTGGAGGCGGGGTGCGCGTTCTGCAGGGCGGAGGGGATGCCCAGCTCCGGCGGCACCGCCTGGATCACCTGAGACATGGCTTCCAGCTTCAGCCCGTTGGCGCGGATGAGGGCTTTCTTCTGCTGCTTCAGGGCCCTGTCTCTCTTGTACATCGGCCCGAACTTGTTCCTTCCTCCCCGCATGCGGTCCGCCCTCACCGCTGTAGGGGCGGCAAAGGGAAGTCAGGTGTCAGTCAGACGTGCGTCACTAGCGTTCCCCAGGTAGCCCGTTGTGTGGAAACACGGAAAATGGACCAGAAGTGGGATGTGTGGTGGTTTTCTCTGCAATGGTCCTCAAGGTCCCCCGAAAAGCCTTGTCCTCAACATTTATGAATTGTTTCCTCCAAGGGTGTTTATCACCAAAAAGGTATTTGGGATATGGAGGGACCTAGCTGCCCTGGGTGCACTGCAGAGATGCCTGCCCTCCTAGAGGATACTTTGTTGCCCTCCTAGAGGATGCATTGTTGCCCTCCTAGAGGATGCATTGTTGCCCCCAGAGGATACTTTGTTGCCACTCCTAGAGGATACTTTGTTGCCCCCCAGAGGATGCATTGTTGCCCTCCTAGAGGATGCATTGTTGCCCCCCCAGGATACTTTGTTGCCACTCCTAGAGGATACTTTGTTGCCCCCAGAGGATGCATTGTTGCCCTCCTAGAGGATGCATTGTTGCCCCCCCGGAGGATACTTTGTTGCCACTCCTAGAGAATACTTTGTTGCCCTCCTAGAGGATGCATTGTTGCCCCCCAGAGGATACCTTGTTGCCCTCCTAGAGGATATTTTGTTGCCCCCAGAGGATACTTTGTTGCCCTCCTAGAGGATACTTTGTTGCCCTCCTAGAGGACACTTTGTGTTGCTTAGGAGTGTCAGTGTGTCTCCTAGGCATTGTTGCTATCATGCCAGTTACACTGCGATTCTCTCTGTGGAAACCCAGGCTGCTGAGAGAAGAAAGATACCCCGAAACCCATTTCTGGGTGGAACGGTGGATGCTTTCTCTTAGACCGCCCTCCTCCTTCAAAGCCCTGTTGGCTAATTTGCTGCAAGAGGGTCGGGCACATACTTCTCTTTACAAAATGATTTTCACCCGGACTGATGGACGCACATCAGGGCACCTGATCTGGTGACTGTTTTTAAGCTTAGCCAAACCGGACATAATTAAAGCAAGCTCCTTTCAGAAGCCGTCCTGACAGTTCACCGTCACAGCGCGGCATGGAGTCCAGGGCCACGTCTACTAAGCTGGTCATTCTCTCCAAGCCCCTGGTGGCCAGTGGCGATTAGACAGACGCCACCAGTGACCTCTGACAGCCTGTGACATGCTGAAAAGGCTGGAGGTGATGTTTTTTGAGGTTTTTATCTCAGGATTAGTACAGCATTAACAACCTATGGTAAATATTAGGCGTCCAGAGATAGCTGAGTTCCCCACGTGGGTGAGAATTTACCGATTAAGTCAGTTTTTCCATTGCACTGGCAAGGCAAGTGACTTAGAGTTAAAAAAGTATATATATATTTTTTTTCAGGCAAAGCAATGCAACTTTTCCTCTTGTTAAAAAAAATCAATGACATCCTAGGAAATCACAACATGGAATTTTTGACATTTTATTTTCTAGTTCTCCTACTACACTAAGCCTCTACGCCATTATTCGGCTTTTGAAAAAGAAGTGATTCCTGATAAAGAAATTAATAAACACCCATTCCTTCCTTTCAATCTCTTCTTAAAAGTAACACAGACGGAACAGTGCCCGTGATAACCAAAGTGGCTACTTCTATCAGGAAGGAATCTGCTAGCAACTCAGCAGATTTATTGGGAGTCTGGGATATGTCCAGCCCGTCTGCGTTCTGCATAACAGAAAAACTCCACACACGGCCAGCCTGTGCCACGCCGATCGGACAGCGCGCGGTCTCTGGTGCCGGCGCATGCCCACCGGGTGCACTGCCACGACCGTGTCGTTTGCAGCCCACACCATCTGTGTGTGTGTGTGTGTGTGTGTGTGTGTGTGTGTGTGTGTCGGGGGGAGGAGGTTGGCAGGTGGGCGTCTGAAGAGCAGCGACACACCCCAGTCGCCCACAAACGACACATTAGGAGCGGCAGGCCCCCGGGGGCTCCCCCACCTGCCCACCTGCTCACCTGCTGGGCCGTCGTCCGGCCTGGCTCTGCTCTTTCAACGTCAAGTTGAAAGTGGCTTTCGAACTGTTTGTTATTTTTCAAGTTTCCTGCTTCTTGACATTTTTTAATATGTTGCAGACTCAGTCATGATCTTAATTAAAAAAAAGTGTTTTCCCACACTATCCAAACTGACACTCTCCACGAGACACTCCTTTTGACGGCGAGCGGCTTCCCTCCTTAGCCAGGGAGCGCTCAGGGGGGAGCCACAGGTATCGCGGGCACACCTACTTGAAAAAGCTCCCAGGGGAGTGTTTACATGGGCATGCTGAGTCGAAAGCTTGAGGATTGTTTTTTTGCAGATTATTTTTATTTGTTCTCAGTTGAATTACTTATGTCTTATTTTCGTCTGACCTATTTTTATTTTTACCATCGAATACAGCTACTCCCCATCCCCCCCAAAAAAGTGGGGGCACAACTCCTACTACATTGTTTGTGCTGGTTGATTTCAGCAGGGTTAAAATGAAAGTCCGTCCCTTCCTCCGTGGACGACACACCAAGTCTTACATCACTGCCAGCGGCGGTAAAAGACCAGGACAATAATGTTACTCTATGGTAGACACAGTGTTGTTTTAAGGTCTCCGTCCTGGGAGAGCTGACCGGCGGGCGTGGTTCGCGGGACCTTACCTTCCAGCTTCATGCCCACACTCAGACACTTTTGGAACCGGCAGTAGGGGCAGCGCTTCCTCTGTGTCTTGTCGATTTGGCAGTTCTGGTTCTCTATGCACGTGTACCTTTTATTATTCTGGACGGTTCGCTTAAAAAACCCCTGCAAGACGGAGAAAATGGTGAGACACGTTATACATCGCCTAACACCCGTCTCCCTCCCACTGTTTCATTTTTAAGGAAACCACCGGCCGATCTTTACACGGCCCGGTGGAAGCCCTTGGGTGGGTCTCTGGCTCGTTCCACATGTTGACAAGGCGGGCCCCCCCCCCCCCCGCCCAGCCCTGCCAGGGCCCAGCGCGGAGTGTTCTGGCACCAGGGGTCTGTCCCTGAAGCATCACATCAAACCTGGGGGGGGGGGGCTGGCTGACCACCCCTTCACCGCAACAGCCAGGGGAAAACACATCTCGTAGGGACCAGTGCCTCTGCCCTGCCGCCCTTCGCGCCCAGAGAGAGGCAGTGGGGCCGGCTGGCCGGCCGGCCGGGTTCACAGAGTCCGGCACAATCTGGCGACAGACCTTCGCCAAGTGCCGGTGGCAAAACTGACCAGCGGAACACTGCAGATCCTTTGCGAATGTCAACATCAGGTGGTTAAAAGCAAAAGGATTTAAGGAGTAAAAATGGGAAAATGTTCATAATTCCACTGGAATGCATTCCAGTGTGGGAACTGTTTAAAAAAAAAAGTGAATCTAATAGGCAGGCCAGCACGGCGGAGAGGGGGAGCTGCCTAGCGCAGAGCGTGTGCGGCCTCGGGTTTCACTCGCGGGGGCCCCGGGAACAGACGCCGCGGCTGTCTCTATCACGGCAGCAGTGTCGGCCGGCGCTGGGGCTGCCCTGTCCCCTCCGCGAGCCACGGGGTGAACCGAGCGTGGCGGTGGGGAGCGAAAGCGTTTTCCTGGCAGCGGTGTGAGTAATTGTCCTGAGTTTTCCACTTCAAAAAAAAAACCTTGAAAAACAGCGAGTATCAAATACACTGGGAACGCGCCCGCGAAGGTCTAGGATAAACCCTTCATGTCTAACTGATACTAGCAACAATGTAGCGCTCTCCACAGACCGCTTCCTTCCACTTTAAGTAGGTCATACATTCACGCAAACCACTCTATTATAGACAGACCTGGTTTCTTCTTCTGTGGCGACATAAATTTCCAAAAATCTTTTAAAAAATTACTCCCTGAGTAAATCAGGGTGCAATCACACGGCCGGGAATTTAGACTTCTGTGTCCGGGGGTAATGAATGTGCGGACGGCGGCAGGGAAGGCTGGAAGGCCCGAAGTGACGAGGTGCTCGGGGAGCACTCTGTCACGGCCCCCCGGAGAGCAGCGGTGCTTTAAACGTGCATAAGTCAAGCAGAATCAATACTCGGGACTGTTAGGAACAGAAGCATCGCCGCAGCTACGTCACTCCGCTGCCGTGAAATGCCTACAAGCCACGAGGGCGGCGAAGTTTCCTGAACAGTCACATGCCTTTGCCCTTTGCATTGCATCAGACACATACTTCTGAGACGCATTCCATTTCCCCGGGGCCGAGTCCTCCTCTCTCCGTGTTCATTGGGTCTGGGGCACGCAGCCCGCACCAAGCTGCCCCAGCCGCCCCGTGGTTGGCCTCGGGGCCCCCCCCCCCCCGCACCCCACGTCCCGGGTGGCGCCAGGGAGGGGAGCCCACCTTGCAGCTCTCGCAGGTGAGGAGCCCGTAGTGGTACCCCGACACCCTGTCCCCGCACACGGGGCAGAGCTCCTCCAGGTCCTCGTCGTAGGAGTAGCTCACCATTTTGAACTGGGACACTGAAAGAGAAGACAGGGGCACACAGGGGCCCGGTTAGTTCCCTCCGAGGCTTCCGCCGGGGCGCACCGCACGATGGGGGCTGGTGGGCGAGCGCCCCGGGGAGGACGCAAAACAACCATCACGTCCACCCAGGGTTCTTCAGAGACCTGCCCTGCGGTGGAGGTGAAACATCTGTGGGCGCCCAGGGGTGCGCAGTTCGTGTACCTTTTTAGACTTAAAAATAATCCCAGCGTCTCCAACATTTACCCACTGGCCTCAGGGCGGGCACGCGCCTGCGAAGCCACCCACCCAACCAGAAAGAGGAATCGCCTAAGTAACAATTTCTTTGAAACTTCCTTAAAAGTTCCAAAAAAATGTCACCCTTGCCCGAGGGACAGAAATAAGCACACCCCCCACCCCCACCCCCCACCCCTCAGGAAGTTCGAGGCCAGCACGTCCCCGCCGGGAACTGCAAGCCCTTGGCGGAGAAACTCGATCTGACCCCAGAAACCCGGGTCTCAGCCGCCCCCTCCCCCGCGGCCAGCGGCGCCCGGCGCTCGGGTCTGCCGGGATAAGCCGAACCGGGTCTGCCCGGTCCCGACACTCTCATCGCGCCCCCTCGGAAACCTCCTGGAAAAGGAAAAGGAAAAGGAAATGGAAAAGGGAAGGCGCAAGAAGGGAGGTGGGGGGAAAAGGAGGAAAAGAGACGGCGGAGGGTTTGGGCTCATCCCAGCCACGAAAGTCCAGGCGTGAACGTCACCTGTTTTCGATCGTTCCCGGAGAGTATAAACACGCCGAGGTCGCCCGGCTCCAGTCCGCCCGAAACGAGGCCGCCGGCCGCGCCGCGCCGCGGGCCTCGGGCTGCCGCTTCCTGGGACGAAGCCCCGGAGCCAGACGCGCCGAGCGCCTCCGTTCGGCGGAGGTGGACCGTCCGCGCCCAGAAGGGCAGTGGCCCGAGCGGCCCCGGACCGCGGTACCTGCCCCAGTCCCTTCCCGAGACCGCGAGTCTGCGAGGCCCGCACCGTCCTGTGACCCGCGGTGCGCACTCGCCTCGCGCGGTTGCTCAACCTCCCCGAACACAGGCGCGCAAACACCGGCTCGGTTTGTTTTAAGTTAATCAGTGGCATTCGCAGGGGGCGGGGTGAGGGGGGTGGGGAGCCGGTGACCGCGCAGGAGTTTTCTGATTTGTTTACCAAAAAGGAAAGAGAGGTAGCCGCCCCCATCTCCGAAATACCTGGCCGCTCGTGTCTTTACTGGCCTCCTTGCCAGGAGTTGCTCTTTCTCTCTGTTAAGTTTTTTTTTTTTTTCCTGTAAGGGTTCTGTAGGCCCCGGAAGGGGCCGTGGGGAGGGGCACAACTCGGTGAGGGCGCGCCCAGCACCGCAGGCGCAGAGTCCTGGGCTGGGGTTCAGCCTGGAGCCAGACGCAGAAGCCGCCGGCCGGTCCTCCAGGGCGCAGCCTGGGTCCCCGGCGGAAGCGGGCGGACCCCGGTTTTGAGAACCTGGGGCTTGGGGAGGTAGCAGGTTGGAGAAGTTCGACTCAGTCCCATCTCTCCTAAAACTCGTGACTATCGCCTGCGGCAAGTTTTAGGGGCAGAAAAAAGTGTACTTTACCACGTCTGTTACTTCCTACCTCCCTGTCCCCCCAAAGTCAATGCCAACTTCGCACCTAAGGGGTGCGGAGAGACCGCCGTGTGTAGGGGACTGGGAGCCCACGGTGGGAACCCTGCACCGAAAAGACGGGGCTGGGGTGGGGACACTTGGAAAGTTCACCCGCGGAAGCCGTGCAGAGAGACAGACGCCTTTGTGCGACCCGGGGGCGTCTCCCCGAGTTCCCCAGGTGGTGTAACGCAGGAGGGCGTCTGGGGAACGGGGTCTGTCGGGACAAAGAAGTCCCTATCTTGGGGAAGTGGAGGGGAGGTGGGGCCTTGGGAAGCTGGGGCCTCAGAGGCCCTGGGAGAAGTTCCCCCGAAGTTGGGCGCGCGGCACTGTGCAGCCAGGTCTCCCCACGGTCGGCTGGGGTGTTTGGGGCTGAAACCGGAGCAAAGGTGGGAATGGGGTCCGAGTCCCGACCGGCTCCTCCCCAGGGGTTCCGCTCCGGCCGTGTGGCCTGGAGGAAGCCCAGGCGAGCGCTCTCGTGCCCAAGGCTAAGCGCGTGCGCGCGCGGCCAGCAGCTCCCCCGGAGCCAGGGGCACGGGGAAACGGACGTTCTGCTTTGGGTCAGTAGGTCGTATCCAGAACTCCCCTCTCAAACTTCAGAAAGAGAATGTTACAAGGGCATTTCCCTCCCATTCCGCCCCCCCCCCAAACTTCAGGCTCTGGCGTCTCCACGGGTCCCTGGGAAACGCAGGAGTCAGGGTGAGAAGCAGAAACTTCCCTTTTGGACTCAAAAGTCGCGCCGGCCTCACGGTGGCCCAGAGGAGTCCTCTCTCTCGGCAGCTGGAGGCGGAGGGTCTGCGGACAGGGCTTCCCCGGCAGCAGATGGGCTTTTCCACGCCGCGCCCCCATGCCGCCGCTGCGGGGACCCGGGGACCGCCAGGCAAGGCCACTTTGGGCCAACCCGGTTCCCTCCGCGGCCAAACTCTAAGTCGGCCTCGGGGGCCTCGGCCCAGGGGACTCGCACAGCCCTTCCCGGAGGGCTGGAGAGACCCGAGGGTCCCAGAGACCCCAGGCCCGCCGCACACCGACGCCCCCGCCCCCCACCAGCCGGTTTCCCCGGCGCGGCCGAGCGGTGAGCTCAGCAGCCCTGAACTCTGCTCCCGAAACCTCGCGGCCCTTTCAAGTTCGCTCCCGGGACGGCAGGAAGCATTCCGGGATCCCAGGCTTGCCTGCCCGTACATCCTGCGCGCGCGGGCAGGGGCGAGCGTGGGGACCCGTAACTCTTCCGAGCATTCATTGTTCCCCGCCCGGCCCGCGGCCGCCGCGGCGAACTTGTGAATGGCTTCTCGCGACCAGAGCCGGAGTCGTGACCTGGGAATTCGGTGGAAACGCAGCCAGCGAGAGCCGCTGTTTTTGTCCGCGATCAGGAGCAGGGGAAACACACAGGGCCTCCGTGTGCCCGCCCGCGGGCTGCGACGGGGTGCGAAGCCACACCGCCCGGCCCTCCCCCACCCCTTCCAGAAGGACCCGCGCGGATCGTGGGGTCGGGGCCGCGGCCGGCTCTTCGGTTCTGCCCGCTCTGCTGAACCTGCCGAGGCCCTGGGCTGCCCATGGGCATTCTGACGCCGACACAGGCCTTGCCGGGGTCACCTTCTCTCTCCGCGGGGTCCTGCCCGAGCGGGCTGTTCTCCTCCACACCCGCGCGCCCATCCCCCGCCCCCATTCCGGGACCGAGGACCTGCTCGAGCTCCCAGGGACCCACTCCTTTCCGTTCGCAGCCCCCTTGAGCGCGAAGACTCCACTCGGGTGGCCCCGGAGCTTGAAGCTTCTCCCTTCGTAATCAGAAGCGGCCCGTCGGCATTACTTGGAAAACGTGCCCCCCCGCCCCCGCCGCATGGTTCCAGAGCCATAAACTTTTATGCCTGCCCGGAGAGGGGGCCCGACGCCCGCGCGTGGCCGGCCCGGCCACACCGGGCGCGAGGAGTCCGGGTGCTGTGGCCGCGGGAGCCGGAGCGCCGCGCCGCTTACCTTGCATGTTTTCCGGCATCTGCCCCTGGTCCCCATGCGATCGGGCCAGGCCCAGGGCTTCCGTCTCCACTTTAGGCAGCATGACAAGGCGGCTGCGGGCGGGGAGAGGGGCTCGGTGTCCGTGAGGAAGCCCCGCACTTGGGCGCGACCGCAGATTCAGCTCCGGCGGTAAGGAGGAAAGGGCGCCGGGGTCCGCTCGCCCGCCCGCTCGCTGGAGTGTACCTCCGCCTCCTCCGGGGCTGCGAGTCCGGACCCCTGTGCTCCGTCCAGTCCCGCAGTTTTGAGCCGCGCGGTGCCGCGAGGAGGAGACCGAGGGCTCGAGACCCGGCGGAGCCCGAGCGCGCTGGTTCGGCTCGGCGAGGGCGGCGAGGGCGGCGAGGGCGGCGGCGGCGAGGGCGCAGCTGCCCGGGGCGCGGATCCGGACGCGCCGAGCTCTCGGTGCGCAGCACGGGAGGCCGGGCAGGGGTGCCGCCGCACGGCGGGGCCGCAGTCTCTGCTGCGGATCGGCTCCGCGACTGCCACCCTGGGTGCGCTGCCGAGCTCAGGACCGACCGGGGTCTCTCTGGCGCGCGCGGCACTTCTCTCCTCTCCGCCCCTTCCCGGTCCCTGCTCCCTGGCGCGCGCAGTCACAAGTGAGGGGTGTGAAGTTCCAGCCTCGCTCTCGCGCCTCCTTCACGCCTCCCGCGGGTCCCAGGGCCGCTCTTCGCAGCCCCGAGGGTGACGGTGCAGGCAGGGAAGAGGGGGCCGGGGGAGAAGGGAGGTGAGCGGGCCGGGGGCAGGGGAGCCTGCGATGAGGGCTGATGACAGTGACGGGGGGCTCGGGTTCCGGACTCGGGTCGGACCCCAGGCGCCAGCCAATGAGGAGGCGGCGCACGCCCCAGTCCCCGCGCCTGCCCCAACCTCTTCACCCCGCCTAACCCCCCTCCCGCCGCACCCTGGCCCGGGGCGGGGGACCCGGGTGCTTCCGGGTCTTACCGCGGGCGAGCGGCGACCTCTGCCTGAGCGCAGCTGCGGCGGCTGGAAGGCGGGGGCTGCGATTTCCGTGAGCCGAGGGGGAGCCGAGCGGAGGGGAGTGGGGTGCGCCCTCGTGTGTACGTCGGGTGAGGGGCTGAAGGGGGGGGGGCTCCAACACCCTATTCGACAATCTAAAGGGGAGAGATGGTGCATTCAGCTCGCCGCTCTTTTCAGAGGCAGAGGTGCCCGCCTCGCCGGGGTGTCGGGCTCTCTTCCCGGAGGCGCTCGGTCCGCGCGGCCCCCGGCGCCCTGGCGGGGCGGAGCAGCTCGGCTCACGCAGGGGACAGCCGCGTCGCCCCGCCGAGAGTTCGCCCACTCGCCGGAAATCGGAGGAACACCTACCCCTGTTTCTCTCGTCCAGGTCCTTTGCTCTCTTGAAAACGCCTCCCCCCCGCCCCCCAACCCAAGGCTGGCGACTGGCTCCCCAAGTTTCACTGAACTGCGCCCGTGGAGGACGCAGACGTCCGCCTGGGCTTTGCTTTTCCACGCCGGCGTCCCCTCGGCGGGCCGGGCCGCGGGAGGCCCGGAGGCCCAGCCCTCCCTAAAGTTTCGAGGAGCCATCTGCCGGGCGAGCTCCTCGGCCGCCGGCGCGGCCGCCTCTCGCGGGCTTCCAGTTCTCCTCCCGCCGGGATGAGGCCGGCTCGTGCCAGCCCCCTGGCGCCCGGGAGGTGCCTCCCCGCCGCGTGTGGAGGGAGTCGGGGCATTACCCGAGTGCGCGCGAGAGGGGGTGGGTTCGAATCTCCAAAGATCCGCGCGCCGCCTGTTCGGACGGGGGGCGCAGGGCGCGGTGAACGGGGAGCGGCCCCAATCTCTGCGGCGCACAGCCGCGGCCGGATGGGAACGCGCGGTTCCCCGCCCGCCCGCGCGCCGGGCCTCGGCGGCTGGCGCGGGCCCTCTGCGCGGACTGGTCGCTTTGCTCCTCCGTATCTGTTCACAATGCACCTTGCTGAGGTTCTGGTGTTAGTAGCAGTCTCGGGTCTCATGGAAGCAGTGAAACCGGGGGTGGGCTGGGGTGGGGGCGCTGACCCCCGTTTGCAAAGGGGCGTGGGCCGGAGTCGCTGCAGTTAGTGATTAAGATGCTCGCATTTTCCTGACGTGTCCATCCACTTTCAGCATGGTGTGCGACCACTTGTTTGGAATATGAGCGTGAAAATTTATGTGTATACATCTCTACACGTTCCAGAACAGGAATGAATCCCGAGGCCCAAATCAGGGTTTTGCCTGTGGATTCGGGTGAACTTTGAAAACCAGCAAACCAGTTTGGTGCAAAGCCTTAACTTGGGACGGGGTCCTTCCCCTGCCATCAGAGAGCTTGCGGGGGCACTGACGCTGCCTCCCCAGCTCGGGCTGGCAGCCGGGGTCCGCCGGCGGGAGGGGCGGGGAGAGGAGGGGGCAGGATGGACAGAAGCGGAGCGTTGGCGAGGACCGAGCGCCGCGTCTGGACTCGAGGTGGGGCCGACCCAGGCCCGGAGAACTTGGCGTTGGGCACTAACCCGGAGCGCCGTTCAGGGCCCAGCCCGCGCGCCCTCGCCCCTCCGCCCCTCCCCCGAAGGTGGGGGCTGACGGGGAGGGAAGGACCGCGGATATTCCTTTACCGCCTCACTAAACGGAAGGGGCGACGGGCGGTCGGGGGCACGTGGGGCTGGGGCCGCGGCTTTAGAGATCCGCCATTGGAACAGCGCGCGGTCCTGGGAGGAGGAGAGGCCCCGGGTTTCGGCTTTGGCCGAGGGGCCAGTCCAGGCCCACGCCCTGCTCAGCGAGCAGCAAAACCAGGGGGCACCAGGGCGCAGGGGGTCTTCTGCTGATCAGACGCGGGGGTGGGGTGCTGGCTCTTCTCAGAGAGGACACGCTCGCGTCTCCTGGGGCTCTGCGCAGCGGAGCCCCATCCCTGGGGCGGCCGCAGAGGCGGGGGCGGGGGCCGGCCTCCTCCGCCAGGCACATCGCCAGCACCCTCTCCCCTCTCCCTGCCTTCGTGTGACCACTCACCTCTGGCCCCTTGACCCTTGCATTCCGCGGCGTGTCCCCGGCCCCACCTCTCAGAGCCGGGCACCCACTTGCCCCGCGCCGAGTGCCGAGTCTGGGCGTCCTGGAACAGCCTCCCCCCCAGGAGAGCTGCGGAGGAGGAGCCGCGCCGCCCGCGCTGCCTGGGTCCTGCCGCCTGCGGACGGGTCCAGGTGGCAGAGGCCGCAGGGCGAGCAGGGAGGGGAGGCCTGAGGTGGGGCGGGAACAGGGCCGGTGTGGCCTGGACTGACCGACAGACACACGGACTGGTTTGGAAGGACAAGGCACCCCCTTCTCCGCCGGACACCGCCCCTGGGTGGGGACAAGCTCAGACACCCACAGGCCTGGGGCTGGATCTGAGGGTCTTCGCTGCAGGCCTGCCGACCTGGGGCACCCTTCCCTCCCCAGCCTCCTTCCTGACCGGGCGGGGGCGGGGGTCTCCAGGGCTCCTCCTCGCGGTTCCTGCGGCCCGAAAGCGCTGATTGACGGGTGCAATTATAAAGGCTGATGGCTCCGGAGGCTCCCGCAGCCTTGACGAGCGCGGGGAGCGCGGTCCTGGCATATGTTATCCCGGCTCTGCGTCGCAGGCCGCGCGCCCCGCTCCCCGCGCGCCGCCGCCGGTAGGGCCCCGCGCTCCGCACGCGCTCCGCAGCTCGGGGAGCGGCCTGCCCTTGACCTGGGCTGAACACCGACGGCTGCGAAGGGACGCACGTCAAGGTCCTGGGCCGCGGGTCAAGTTTTCTGGCTCGGCGGACCCAGGCTGCGGGAGACGGGAGTGGAGGGCCCGCCCGTGCGGCGGGCGGGCGGGGGCGCGCGGTGGGGGGAGAACTCCCCTGACCGCCCCCTCCCCCACCAGCCTTGCGGGTCTACATCCTTGCAAACAGTTTCTAAAGCTTCCTCCGGTCCTGCTTGCCGGTGTTTTTTGAGAAACCAGAACAATGCATCGCTTTTCCCATCGCACGTGTCTACTTTTTCAGCCGCGGGAAACAATCTCGGTTTCTCCGCCCCGCCCCCGAAGACCTCCAGCAGAAACTCCAGGGGAGGCGGCTCCTCTCAGCCCCTGACCTCAGGCCGGCGGAACCTGCCAGCCCTCCCCACCCAGAAAAGCGCGAGGGCAGCGCTTCGCTTTCCCCCCGCAAGGGAAGTTTAGCGGAAACTCCGGACTCCGCCGCTGCGCGCTGCGCGCTGGGCTGCCCGCCGGCCCCCACGCCCCCCACCACCGGCGTCCCCAGCACTAGGTTTTGAGTAGAGAGGAATTAAATTGCAGCTCAGACCTATAAATTAATGATAAGGAACTGTGTATTGGCCGAGGCTTTGAAGAGATAAACTTGAATAGGCGAGAAGTCCTGCTTTGTTTGTTTGTTTATTTTTAAGTTCAATCCCTTTCCACTGTCCGTGTAAACGACCGCCGCCGACCGCGGGGCCGCCGTTGGGGGCGCCGCGGGGCCCTGCTCCGGCCGCACCTGCACCGCGCGGCCCGTCTCTCCCGGGGCCGAGCGTGCCCAGTGTCGGGGGACCTGGGCGCCTCCGGCTCTGCCCCTCCCTGCCCCAGGCCGCTTCCCGCCCTCGCCCGGGCGGTGGGGGAGGTGAGGTTGAGGAGTTTGGTCGGATTTTGGCAATCCGCAGCTCCCTGGAGGAAGGCTTCGCTGTAGAACTTTTTGACTTTATTTTCTCTAGGGTGCCCTGTACCCGCCCAGGGGCCCAGCGCCTCCGGCCTTGGGAGCACCCGTGACTTTCTGGGCGACCGCCCGCTGGGGAGATGAGTGGCCGGGGACACAGGTTTGGGCGGGTGGTCCAATTTCATCCACCTCTTCCTCGCTCCGATTGAAGTGGAGACGAGCCGTCCGCGCCAGCCCAGAACTGCAGCCACCCGGTCGTCCTCGGGACCAGGAGTGGCGGTCTCCAGCACCATCCCCCCGCCAGCAGGCCACCCAGCCCTCAGGGAACCCAGCGGAGCCTGGGGGTAGCATTCCCCTGGCCCCGAGCCCCTCCTCGGCCTGGCCTGGTTGTTCCCGCCCTGCGGTCGGTCACCAGAGCCGGGTGGGGCTGCAGGATTCCAGAGGGATCTGGAATCTTCCAGTAGGGAACACTCCCTACTTCCCCTCACGCTGGGCTGCTGCCCGGGGGCAGCGCCCCGCCCAGGGCCGCTGGGTCTGAGGCCTGCGGAGCCGCGGCGTCGAGCGGTCGGAGTCCCTGTCGGACAGCGAGGACCCTGGGTGCTGGGGAGGCGGGGCCTGCGGTGGCGGCGACCCCAGGGACGCGGGGACGCGTCAGGGCCGTGCGGTGGGGGAGGGTGTGTCAGCTCCCCTCTAACCTGCAGACAGCTTTCCTGCCTCAGAGACCTCGGCCCACGTGCCCTGAGGAGGGGAGAAGTCCTTTCGCTTCCCCCCGGTTTCTGGCCTGGAAACTGGGAAGTCGCTTCGGGGGCCTGACGGGGTGGGGTGGGGTGGGGTGGGGGTGGTCCCCACAGGGTTTCTCTCCCATCCTGTCCTGTCGGGACGCAGGAGGCGGTGGGGCGCAGGCTGCGGAACCTGGGGCCCAGACGCAGAGACGGGTCGGCACCAAGGGAGGATGCGGGCGGGCTTGGGGCCCGCATGG